TCCTCCTCAGCCTCCTTTTTTTGTCACCATCCGACGCTGCTCGCTGGGGGGCATTTGGACGGAGCAGAGAGATCCGAGAGAACGCACGTCGTGGGAAATGAACCAAGGACGCACCACCGGGAACTAAGAACTAAAAGGGGGTTCCTTTTTTTTTTTTTTTTTTTTTTTTAATTTTTCGGTTTCATCGCCAGCTATAAAACACCACAGGACAGAACATAAACGCTTCAAGTATTTTTCCTCAAATAGGAGGGGATTTTTTTTTAAATTTAACATCCGTGGAAAGGCATTGTGCTTCTTGAGGCACCAGAACTGAACAGTCTTTCCTTAAATCGATGACAGAACACAGGTGCAGAAATGGCGTTTTCCTGTCGTCCTCACCTCGGACTTTAAAATGAAAGAAAGTCTAGTTGACCTCTTTGATTCTTACCTTTTTTTTTCACCGACTTTCGACTTCTAAAGTGAGACTCTGGCGAACCATAGGAGAGATGACATTTTACTTTAAGATGCAATGGCCATTCAGCCATCTTAAGGCCCCAGAGATCTGGACAGACTTGGGGTTAACTTTACAACTAGCAACCAGTGTAAAGACGTGGAGAGATGGTGGGATGTGTGCATTTCAGGATGCTTTGAAACAGCAGTAGAGAAAGTCACAAAGTGATTGTGACTGCCTCCTTAGCATTATCACACTATTGCAAAAAAAAAAAAAGGACAGAGTGTCTTGTAATGTGGCGATCAGTCAAACAGAGTGGACGAGTTTCTATTTAATGTTTAATAAGTGTGATTTGGGGGAAAGTTGCACTACAGGCTGTATTTAAATGTTTTGGGGGTTTGGTGCAACAGCTCAGTGTTGGGAATGCACAGTGAGAAAGCTGATTTTTCAAAAGGAAAGGCGAATCCAAGAGGCAATGCTGAGCACTGAGGTTGTCAAAAATAATGCACAGTACTGCAACTCCCCATCTGTAGAAAAAAAAAAGAAAGAGGAAAGGACACAGTTTTTAGTATCAGACACAGCCAATACTGTCAAAGGGCATTTAGGCAGGCGTAGCAGGTGCACCCATGGGCCTGTACATTAACTGCCTGTGCACACTTTGTGATTTAAATAATCCGATTTTTTCATTTCTTCCTTTCATCTTGGCTGAGGATATAAGCTATACATAGTCTCTAGCGATTGATTGTCCAAACGCAATTCTTGAGTAAACTCAAATTCAACCCCAAGAATTGTGTATGGACATCTGTTGCTGCAGACTCACATTCATCACTGCTGCCTTGTTTGGCCAAACGCCACATCAAGAGTGTGGGGCCTCCAAACCACAAAGGAGGCTAAAGGAAGGCCTGTGTTTGTTTTGTAACTGTCTCAGTTCAGGTAAGATGCACATCACAGTTTGCATATTATGGAGGAAAAAAAAGAAAGAAAAAGACGCGGGACTGGGCCAATAAAAGTGGAGGAAACCTTAACTCTGCCTCATGTAATGTGTTTTTCGGGATGTGCATTGTGGTTGGCCCGATTGGTATTTACACTTTGTCGAAGATCTAATGAAGACTGTTTGTTTTAAATGGCAAATATCGACGGGAAGCATTGATGTATCGACTGTGTTTGGCAAACAGTACAAGGCAGTAAGCTGAAAGCTCACATGCAGCACAGATGCACGTTGTGGAGGAGAGGTGAGCAAAGCTAAAAGAAAAAAAAAAGAAAAAAAAGAAAAAAAAACTGGAGCACATCAGCAGATATACATGGAGTCATGGATGAGAAGAGTAAACACAAACGAACGAGGCAGATTAAATCAAGGTGGAAATAGGTTTCCGTTAAAAGCTACATTTGGCTGGAAAATAGTTCCTTAAATATTTTCTAATAATTTATTAAAAGAGCATATTTAGAGCCCATTGAAGCTAAGCCCAAAGAGCATCCTGCAGCAGGGCACTCAGCCACTTAGCTAAACACAAGGAGCATATTTGTAGCTATTGCCTCTGAAACCAAATCAAAGGCAGGTTAATAAATGTTAAGGTGTTTCAGTATTATAGAATCAGGAAACAAACCAAAACAAAGGGAGCAGCAGAGGCCCTGCTGATGGATGCTGCCACATTTCTGGAGCCAAAACAGCGTCACTAATAAATCACGTGGAACATTTTTTTGGCACCATGAGGTGTTTTATTGTTTTTTTTTTCTTCATTCATTATTTAAAAATCAATTTCACTGCTTTGAAATCATTCCAATTATTCTTTAAAAACGATAAAGGCGTTAGGAGTTTACACTAGTATTAATCTAATAACATAGAAAATAAAAATTCTAGTTTTTAACGGTTAAAGTTTAGTGAAAGCAAAATTTTCTTATTTCAAATACGTGTTTAAAAATGTTCTAATTTTGTTCTCAGTTACAGACTCATTAATTAATGCGAAACAACACTACACTACTCTACACACACACACACACACACACACACACACACACACACACACACACACACACAAACAGCAAACGTGTGTGTTGTTGTTGAACATTAAAGGCTAACCTTTCTTAATTCCAGGGGATTAGAGCATCGTGTTTGCTCTTGTGCAGAAATACTTGTGTCCAATAGGTTGCAATGTACTCCTCCTATTAATTGTTTATTTATTTATTCTTTTATTTGACAGAACATTAGTAGCCTCTACATTTTTATCTTTATTTTATTTTAATATTTGAAGCTTGCTCAGCACAAATGCATGGTTTTGTGCACGTGTTTTTTTTCTGCCTGTTGGACATAAACAACCGCAGTGTTTTCCATTTAAAAAAAAGCTCCCCTTTAATAACAATCAGGTTGTAGTGTTCTGTTGTATCATTTTGATTGTGGCCCTAATTAATAAAAATAAATACCTCTAAATACGAGCCTTTTGATCATTACAAAGGCAAAGTGATGATTTCAGGTTTCCCCGGTTAGTTCAGGTCGAGCTGTACATTTCTAGCTTTTGTTCACAAGCAACTATATAACATGGCAACATTGAGTCTCAGCACTGGATTCACTGCAGGGAAGTATGGGAGCCTGTGAGTGCAACAGCAAAAACACGAGGGGCGGCAAATTTGGCAACAGTTGCTTTAAAGCATGAAAACAAACAGGCAGGTGTTATTTTAGTTCGCCCCTTAAATAATCTCAGATTATATGAGAATACGTCCAATTCATAACATTTAAAATTTTCTCATCATAATGTTAATTTCAGGGGTAAATATATACTTTCTTTAACACAGAATATAGTTACGGATAAAACAATTTTACATAAGCACCATCATGTCAGACTGACAGTCAAAAAAAAAAAAAAAACACTAAATCGATGCTATTATGTATAATCATAGCCTAGTGCTTTATTTTTATTGGCTGGTGTTTACTTTATGGCTGTTCACCTCAGACTGGAGATCACAGGCGTTTTTTTTGTTTGTATTTTTTCATTGCCACTGTTGTAACCTGAGCTGTTGAGAGTGGTGAAGAGTGTGATCTGATGGTGAGGCCAGGTCGACTCTCTCACCACCAGCATCGTCACCATCTCTCCTTGTCTGAGCAGCAGTCAGCCAGTCAGTGTGCAGCCTGTGGACAGTGTGAACTGTGCAGTGCCCAGGTGATAGTCCAGATACCCCGCAGGACTGATGGAAAACCTCGTGTATTTATAACTGAGTGCATATCCCACAAAACAATTGGATCTGAAAGGGGATAAAAAATGTGGGTACAAACCAGATTTGCAACACGAATTATGGGGGAACTAGAGTCTCGTGGAGCATAACGTAGGCTATACATTAAGTATAGAAAAACGTTAATAGATTATAGGATGCACTTTAAAAAATCTGAAACAACCTACATAAACTTTACAGCCTCTGATGTTCTTAATATTTAGGCCAAATAACCAAGAACAAAAATTTAACAGTGGCCTGTAAGAGGCACCAAGCTTAAACACACATGCAGATAAATGTTGATCACACTCACACACACCTACACAGACACATAGGATCCTTGGCCTGCACTAGCTGACACAGTGCTACATTTTCTCCTCTCTAACCCCCTCGCACCTCCATTAGCATTTCCTTTCTATCGGCCATTATCGGCCGGTTTCCCGTTGCAAATCGGACTCCACAACCGAGAAAAGGTTTTAGGTCGCCCCGGGGCGTTCAGGGGAGGACAGCCCGGAGGCTAGACCTCGACCTCCCGCAGTGGTCCTGTAGTTCACACCCCACCCCACCCCACCCTCACCACCACACACACACACACACACACACACACACACAAACCCACACACACACACACATCCACCCCCCCCCCCCCTTCTCTTATGAATATTCCATCTGAGTGGGGCTATAGGACGGTAAATTCTCTCTAAAGTCTCGTCTAATCAGCCTAAAACTGCAGTGTGATCACAGAGCTGGGTTTAAATCGATCAGGTATAAGCTATCACCAGGAATTATCGAAGCGTGATGTAAAATCCTAATTGAGGAGAGCGTTTGGCTATAGGCCTCTGCGTGTGGTACAGGGTGGTATGGACCCTTGCAGCTAAAATGGGATTTTTTGATGACATTGTTCAGAGAGAGGAAAATAGAAAATACATGAGACAGTTTGGATTAAAAATGTATAACATTACCATTGATATTTAACATATAGCTGTATACATTTATTAGAAAAATATTATTGTTAATTAAAGAGAATGATAAGAATGAGAATAACATTTTCCTAATTTATGATATATTTACTTCGTAATTTCAACACCCTCCTGTTATGGATGCAGGTAAAAATGAGAATACATATTGTTTAAATATCTTTGAAAAAATCCTCCTTTGATAATACCAGAAAATATAGGCTCATGGTGTAATTACAGAAGTTATAGTTTAAAAAAGAAAACAAACAAACAAAAAAACAGTTTCAGACACAGTTGTTTAAAAAAAGCTTTTAATGTTTTTTTTTAGAATATCAGAAACAATTAGAAGAATCCAAAAAAGAAAATAAAATGTTTTTTAAAAGAAAGAAAGGAAAAAAATATTTTATATCACTTTATTCTAACATTAGCATTTATAAGCACTGTGTTGACAATGAATAAATAGTTCATAACACACTATAATGTAGGTGTAAGTAGCTAGAAATACATTTTTAGGTGTTTATTAATGTATTTGACAACTTCACCTGTGAAGCTTCCATAAGTGGTGGCTGGTGTATGAACAGATAATGAACGATGGTAATATAACACAGTTGTAATCATATAAAATATGTATTCATATGAGCACAATTGTTGACAAAGACATTAATGAACACTTCCAATGTCATCATATCTGCATACAGCTACAATATAGTGTGAACAATTTATTAAATGTGTAAATGCAGCTAATAAATGCTAATTAGTGAGGGTTAAAGTGTTACCTTTACTTTAATATTTTCTTGACCAGAACTCAAGATAAGGTCATTTTGTCCTTCACAGTCACACTGGAAGAGAAATTGCAGGGAGATGAAGGCATACACACTAACTGTAGGTATTTACACTGGCACCTGTGAGCCGCCCAGTACAACCAGAGCTTCGTCTGACTGCCACTTGAGCCTGTCCACCTTGATTTAAAAAAAAAAGAAAAAAAAAAAGAAAAAAGAAAAATAATGGTATTTACGAAAAAGTCCGCAGAATTCCTGTCTCACAGCTTCCACATTTTTCTCAGTAACCATCTCTGAATTTCCACTCATTCCTGCGGACCAACATCAATCATCTCAGTCGTCACGGTGCAGGTTGACACGTTTCACAGCATCCAATGGGGTGACGTGTTGTTGGGATGTCAGGGGAAAGAGGGAAGAGTGTAGAGGATGCGGAGGAAAAGCTGTTACAGAGATGTCAGGGATATGTTTGCCTTCCTCACTCATTTTCTATCCTCCATGAAGAGTAGAAATGAACACAACGTTGTCCTGGTCTTGCAGTTGGTAATCCAGCTCCCCCTGAGGTTTAGAAAACACACAAAATGTTCAATATTCAAACATCTGTACAAGTCAAAGGAGAAATATGTGTGTTTACCAATACAAATATGCATATTACTCCTGCGTTCCCTTTGGGGTCCAATCAATAGCAAACTTCTCATTTCATTTACATCCTGTGTTGAGTCCTGTAATTGAATCAATGGATTCAAATTGAAGCATTCAGACTGTTTGTGCATGTAAATATGTGTTCACATATGAGACCCCAAGGACAAAGTTGTCTTGCAGCTGCTTCCACGTTTATATGAAACATTAACTGACTCAGAGAAAATGAACAATCTCAGTATCTCAATGCACATACAGGCTAACCTTCGCACACACAGGCACTCTTCCTCTTCCTGATTTAAACGTCCTCACAAGCATTTTATATAGTTATGGGGATCTATGCACACAGACTGAAGACATGAACACTGCCGCATGCATGATCTCTAAACATTACACTGTAATAGTGCATCTGTAAAACAGACAACATAGATTAAAAGTAATGTAAAATATTATGTTTTATACACTGCTAGAAAAGCACACACCCCCCACACGCATGCACACACACACACACACACACACACGCATGCACGCACACACACACACACTCACACACGCATGCACGCACACACACACACACTCACACACACCATCTGACAGTGAACATGGCTCCCAAGTGCTCACCATTAGTTCCCAGTCTGCATCATTGATGAGCACCAGAATCCCAGGTCTCCTGTGGGAAAACACACCGTTTTGAGTCAGATGCATTTCCCAAAGGCAACTGACTCTAACACATGTACACACATTCATAAAAAAAAATAAAAAAGACCCAAACAAATATAAACAGTTCACACAAACAAACACAAATACTAATTTGGTATACATTAAGGGGAAAAAAAAGCAATTCTCAAATAAATATCCTCAAGTGGTTTTGAAATAATGACAGCACAATTAGTTAAAGAAGTGCTACAACCAAAATTTAAATGATCTCCAATAAAAGGGAAATAGAAAAAAAATTGCTTTAATCTCAGGCATGATTTATTTTTTTCCTATGAATGTAAGTTTGTCAAACTGAACCATATTTAAAAAAAAAAAAAAAAAAAAAAAAAAAATTAAAAATCAATTATTACTAATTCAATTCCTGCTCATTCTTACTAATTACAATTTAGTCTTTTTTGGGGTGGTGGATGGAGACACAGGGATCATTTGTTTGCTGACACAGCTTGACTAACAACTCCAATCAAATAAATGTAATAGAAAAACAGATAAGTGATAAATATACCTGAATGTAACTAGAAAAAATCATGTAAAAATTCAATACATATATAAAGTATATAAATATATATATATTTATATATGTTTTTTTCTATAACAATTTATAGCAAACTATACCCTTGAGAAATCAAATCCAGTGTTTTAATTTTCAACACTTCACAGTATAAAATTAATAGACAACCAGTTTCATGCTTGAAAACAAATACTGGTAATTTCATGCTAATAAATGTATTAGTGTAAGTGATTGCATGTGTGTTTTTCTGTGCGTTATGTTCATGTTACAGCACATATAGGATCATAAATTTCTGCTAATGTTATGCAATGTAATTTAAACTGCTCTCCACATATGTATTAAGCACTTGTATTACCAATCACAATCTCCCAAATTGTTTTCTGGCTAACAAGGACTGCAGATGATGATGATTTCTCTTATAATATAATAAATAAAAGTGACTGAGGTAAAAAACTAGAGAGAGAATGGGGAAAAACAAACTGTCACTGGATATTAATGGGGGCCCAAAAATAACATACACATGAAGCTTAAAAAAAAAAAAAAAAAATCACCCTTCAAGAGAGGATAATGGAGATAATGGGGATAATGGGGGAGGGTAACAACAGGCACCTTTGGGTGCAGTTTTCTTAACAGATGTGAGTGTATTTTTTTCCTGGAAGCCAGAGAGTTTAGTTAACGTGTATGGTGAGATAATGCCTGAAACAGATACTGATGCCTCTCATAGAGCTCAAACAAGCTTCTTTCCACCTCGTAGATGCTCTATGACGTCAAGGAGAAAGGGCAATGTGAGAAGAACCTGTGAGAGCAAATGTGTCTGCACACACACACACACACACACACACACACACACACACACACACACACACACACACACACACACACACACACACACACACACACACACAGGACTGTGTTGAGAAAGAACAAAAAAATAGGAAAAAAAAGGGAAAGATTGCAAACTAATCACACACAGCACCCATAGATCTTTTTAAAAAGATAATGAGGAAACACCTTGATGATGGTTTGCTCAAAAAACAGTGTGTGCTGCCAACATAGAGTACACACAAACACACATCTAATCTATAAGGTTTATAGGTAGCCCAGCTTTTTCTCCATTCATTGGTTAGGTGGTGCTATAAATAGTCCTGCACAAAGGCAGCTGTAAAAGTCAGCCAGTCCTATAAGACTGCTGTGAGCCCTAGACCCAAAGACACACACACACACACACACACACACACACACACACACACACACACACACACACACACACACACACACACACACACACACACGTGTGCATAAAAACACATAAGCTCCCATGCACACACACTTGCACACAGGTAATCATCTTACTGAAACCTCTAACCTGAAGGCTAGACTGTTTTTTTCTCAGCATTTCAGCAGTTTTAAACTGCAGGAGAAATACTTCAGAAAGACTCACAGTCTGATTCTGTCTCATGTTCAAATTCAACATACTGAAAGCTGCTCTTATGATCAACATTATAGTCATATTTGGCAGTTAAGGTTTTGCTCCAGCGGCAGTGTGGTGTGTGACATATCCTTTCAGGTTATATTGTTGTACACAGATCAAGTGTGTGTCAAGTGCACACACACACACTCACACAGAGTCTCCTTGGACAAAGAGCTCAGGCCGTTCCTTCAGCAGGTTCCGTTGGATCCAGACCAGCAGCTGCTTCATGTCCCCTACAAAACACACACACACACACACACACACACACACACACACACACACACACACACACACACACACACACACACACACACACACACACACACACACAAAGGCCATACACAGGCAGACAACAGAGGTCACAGGTTAGGGGTTAAGGGTCAAGGTGCAGGGTTCCAGCCCCCTGGTCGATGTGACGCGACAGAAGCACCAGGCGGGACGAGGCTGTGTATACGTGTGTGTGTGAGTCAGTGTGCATGTATATTTATGAGTGTATGTGTATGTTTGGCGGGGGGGACACTGGAAATGGGGGGAGGGTTGACTGATGTCAATGGCCAAGAGCGACATTGTTCACCTTGTTTAGAAAGAAATAAAAATGAATGATTTCTGTGTAAAAATCTAGAGACAACCGAACAGACTGAAAAACAAAGACAATCTACAGCTGGACGTGATATCAAAATGTTACAATGAAGGAAAAAAAATCAAGTATTGAGGTTGACATTTTCTAAAAGCATGTACACCTTAAAAACAATATAAATGCAATTACATTTCTCTCTAGCCTCATACTTGGGAATTTCTTCAATGCAGGACTGATGGAACAAATGGCAAAATGCTGTTTCAGAATAATCATTTTCTTTGTTAGAGTCGTACGTTTAACGCTCTGCTTTTCGCCTGAGCTTGAATATCAGAGATGCTTGAATTTTCTATGAGTCTGACCTCTCGAACAATCAGATTGACCTTGTCTCAACAATAGGTTGAGCCTCACTAAGACCGACCGACAGCCACAAAAGCGACGACAATGAGAGGTTTTAGAATAAATACCCACTAAACAACTGACAATGAATATATTATAGTTATGGTTATCGTTAACAATAAGATTCAAAGGTGTTTTGTAGGTGTGTGTTAGTGCTTGGTGTGTTTCCTTTTAAAAATAGTGTTATGATGTGGAGGCGAATGCGGTAAAAACAAAACACACAAATGTAATATTTTCTTGTCACCATTTCCTGGTTATGTGTTCACGTGTGTGTGTGTGTGTGTGTGTGTGTGTGTGTGTGTGTGTGTGTGTGTGTGTATGATCACAGCTGTCTGCTTAATGTACATGCGCACGATGACTGCAATCGCTGGCAGCCATATCTCAAATACACACATACACACACAACATCAAAATTACCAGTACCGGCCTCCATCACCAGTTTACACCTGACTGAAAAAAAACAGAGGAGATGAGGTACAGAAATGTGGAAGGAGAGAGTGAATGAACAGAGGAGAGAGAGAGCAAATACACTATAGTAGAGCAAGAGGAAAAGAGAGCAGCAGCAGATGGAGCAGATACGCGGGTAAGAGGACGACAGTGAGTGATCCCGAGCCAGGTGTAGGAGAGCGGTGAAGCTGTAGCAGGTAGGCGTCGAAGCACTCAGGGATTCACGAGTTCAGCTGGATCAAAGGCAGCGCTAATATCACAGTGAGACAGAACACGGGCCTCGGTTTTGACCTGACATACATTTGGGAAGATGCAGGAGAAAAAAATAAAACGTTGCCCTCTTTCGGTGGAGCTAAATTTGGATTTTGCTTTACGTTTCAATTAATTATTCCGTTACAGAGTACAGGTTTACATTTTGCCTCAATCTAAAATTACGGAGACATACTGGTGTCTGAAACTGTCCAAATATTCACAGAAACACCTGCCTTTTCCAGGTTTTCAGATTATGAAATTACACTAAGAGGTGTATTAAAGGGCTACATGTGTTTTTCATTTCAAAATTGGGTCCATATATCTGATAAAAAAAAAAAAAACATTTTCTGTGGAGTCATCGTCCATGGTTCAGGGTTTAGATATACGTCCATAGAAATCAAGGAAATTTCATTTTCTGCGATCCCAATCAGGCAACGCTGATCACAAAATATAAAATACAAATACCCACATGATAAAATAAAATATAAACGTAAAGATTTCTGTTAAAAGGCACACTTTATATCTTAATAATTTTGCTAACAAAAAAACAAACAAAAAAAAACATTCATAGAAAAAGGAAAGAATTCTAAAAGCACCTGCCTGGTCACTGTGGCTCTGAGGGCAACAGACTGTGTGGATGATATGTGATGTATAGGGTGTGTGTTTGTGTGTGAGCGTACGTTTACGCGTGCACCTCCAGGCCTGTGCGGACGGTGTCCAGGTTAATTGCAGTGCTGTCGGGCAGCTCAGTAGTGTAATGATAGTGCTAGTTTTCTACGGTTCCAGGCCTCCATATAAAGAAAAGACAAATACCTCCCTTTGCAACACACACACACACACACACACACACACACACACACACACACACACACACACACACAGAACTAGGCAGTGAATATTGACCTGCACCTCTGCGGGGCTAAAAACAGAACTAATCACAACAGCAGTCATAACTCCTTCTTTGTGGTGACTCCTTTCTTTGCTCTCTCTCTGCCTTTGACTATTGGTATTTTTCTCCACCATTACCCCTTATTCGCTCTTTCATCCTCTTGTCCATTTACTTTTTCATTTGTTCTCTCCGTCTCTCTGTCTCACACACACACACACACACACACACACTCTCTCTCTCTCTCACACTCTCTCATTCTCTCGTAAAACCTGCTCTCCTACCCCCTTTCTCTCCTTCATCTCCCTCCATCTTTTGCCTTCTCGTTTATGTTCTCCTCTCTAAACACACACACACACACACAAGCAAACGTGTTAAAAGTTGCACGTAGAAAATAAACAGGTTGCCAATACACAGGGTGGTAGTAATTCAAACTTTCATCAATTAAGCTTTTTATAACAGAAACAGTCATCAGGCGCTGCCTGTCTTGTAAAAGGTTACACAGGTCTAGGAATTTAAATCAACCACGGTCTGAAACAAAAAGACAAGGCTTATACACCGATCAGCCACAACATTAAAACAGGTGACTGGTTTTCATGCTGTGGCTGATCAGTGCATAAATTAACTGTATAAAAGATGAAAGTCAATGTTAAGAAATGAGGAGTGAGAGAAGAACATTGACACGGAGAGACTGAGAGGTGAAGGTTTTCGATAGCGCTTTGCTGTCCAGGTAGAGGGGAAAAGAAAATGAGGGAACAAACAGGCAAGAGAGAGGGAAAATGCGTCACAGGCTCCTAATGCATCCTGGGATAGCTGCGGTGCGTGGGTGGAAAAGGAGAAATGGAGGGAGGGGAGAGAAAAGGCGCCATTTTGACGCCGATTCAAAACCGTGGCCGCTTTTCTTTTGTGCGTGCAGTTTTTTCCGCCCTTTCTTCTCCTTTCACTTTTCTGTCTTCGTGCAATTATGACGGTCATGTGTGTGTGTGTGGTGGTGCTCGACTCTGTAGTCCGTGTGTGGTGTGGGGGGGGGGGGGGCTATCCATCTTTCTGCTGATACGAGAGGCAAAAACTGTGTGATCCTTAGACCACAGGGGTTTTGTTGTGTGTGTATGAGAGAGTTAGATAAAGAAGGAGAGAGAGAGAGAGAGAGAGAGAGAGAGAGAGAGAGAGAGAGAGAGAGAGAGAAAGAGAGAGAGAGTGGGGGTGGGGTCTTTCAGTCGAGGGTCATCAATCACTGGCTGGGGTCAAAGAGAAATACGAAGGATTCAGAACCAATTATATCTGCCTTCACTGCACCCCCTCTGTACTCACACACACCGATACAATACACACAGACACACACACACACACACACACACACACACACACACACACACACACACACACACACACACACACAAAGATGCGTAAGGTGAAATTAGTTTGGAGCAACATTTTCAGAATCACACAACCGGCCCAAAATTCAGTTCACGATAAGCAAATACAGCCAGGAAATGTTATGTCAGAATGTCTGTGCTCCTGTCACATTCAAATGATTTGTGAACTACGTGGCAAAATCACAGGTTTTCTAGTGTAGTACCCCACCCCCCCATCCCACACACACCCACACACACACACACACACACACACACACACACACACAGACACAGACAGGTCGGCTTGTGCAGCAAGGTCATATCTGGCTGACATTCCCTGTTCTGGTCAACTTTTGTCTTTTTGTTGTCGTGGTTACATCAGCGCCATGGATGAACACCCTTTGTTTAGTCAAATACCAGAGACACATATTTCTCTCATTTGTTCTTTCTCTCCGTAACACACACACACACACACACACACACACACACACACACACACACACACACACACACACATAAATGTATATAGACAGGACACTTAAACATCCAGGCAGCTGCGATTCACAGTCTACACTTTTCCCCTGCTTGTTTTCTCAATGACCCTGGTCCTGAGCTGGGTTGGGGGAATAAAATCAGTCTACAGGCAGGTTTCCCCTCCTCCATGCTGAGTTAGTGACCCGTGTTGGAGGGAGCCTGAATCCCTCGACAAAATAAAATCTAATCAATTTGGATCCTGAGGTCGGAAACTTTTTTTTAAGAATTGAGAAATGAACACAGGCACGCAGAGTCAGCCAAAATGATCTCGACAAAAAAAAAAAATATGACTTGAGTCACCCCAGCTGCTATTTTTCAACTCACGGAGGCAAAATAAACTTCCCTTTAACGCCCTTCCCTTCCCACCTTCACATACATCAGCATTAGCAGTGGGCAACGTTTATGAGTGAAAGAGGCAGAACATGGTCTCACAGATGTTAGAGAAGAGGGTGACGGAAGGAGGGAGAGGAGGAGGAGGAGGAGAAGAAATAGGAAAGTGATGGGAAGATAATGGCCCAGAAGATTAATTTATGACAGAGAATGGCAGCATTATTTCCATTTGTTTTAGATGCAAGTGAAGGGTACGGAGCTTTCATCCAGACCAAACAGTGACCAGTACAGTTGGCAGATTTATGTCCTGTTGTATGACACATGCACATTATCAACAAAACACTCAAAAACCCCATTTAAAATGTGAATGAACATAAATCTGAAGTTACAAAGTCATATGATACTAGCCTCCTGTTCTTTGTAAATCTTTTCAACTTATACTTTGTCAGTCACTTTATAATTTGTTGTTGTAAAGTTAAACTGTTGGAAATTGAGAATACAATAGGAAAAAATAAATCATTCACCGTACACATACATTTATATAATGCACTACAATAAAGTGTATCTCAAGACACAGATTGTGTTGTCCGTCCTCCCCCTCCATCCCCAAATTCCCAATCCTTATCTGATTTACTTTTCATTGTCCATGTTTTCATGGCCTAATAAAGCTGTGATGCCATCATTATCTAAAAAATGATGCATGTTTTGCATCAAATCAACTGTTTTTAGATCACAGCGATGTATAATTTAGTTTAGTACAAATCACTTCCAAACAATTGTATAAGTATTAATTACAACACAGTTCTTGCAGAGGTCTCACTGACGGATGTTAGGGCTCAAAAACTGTGCAGAAACCAATGAATCCTGCTCACTGTCAATCCATGTTGATCAGTGGAAAGACCGAATCATTGTTAGTAAAATGAGCACGAGTGATCAACTGTGTGGAGGATTCCTTGGTTTTTTTCACAAACCATTCTATATCCTCCCTGTCAGGAAGCCATTGGCTTTTATGTGTCAGTACATTATGACAGCCAACATGACAACTCCATCAGAGCTGAAGCTCATATCTGGTTATGGTTAATTTAATACTGCATCATCATGTGGCAATAGAGCAAAAGACATGACTTGAAAAGCCTGTAAAAATGGCGCCTTCACCATTGGTGGACAGAGGATTGTTTGACTACACTGTATTAACATGCAATCCTATTAGAAAATTAAAACTTGAAAACAAATAATATGCAAAGATGCACTTTGTGAACATTTAAATTTCTGTGCAGTAAAACGTAAGTAAAAAGTAAAAAGGCCGCCAAGATGTCTTGGATGTGTTAACAACCATGAACACTTACCATATAACATCAGTCTATGAGACTTGTTGTAAACGGACTAAAGCTTGTAGAAACACTGGACTTGTTCTTTAGGTGGAACTTCTAAATACAACCCTCCAAATCATTTGGGACATTTCTCATCCTGGGATTTCCTGAGATGCAGCTACATGATATCAACGCTACAATTATGACATGGACAGACAGGTGGCAGGTGATACTCACAAGGTTCTGATTGGCTTGGAAGTGTCACATGATGCTCCTTCACACCATTAAAAAGCAGCTCTGCTCCTCCTCTAGACAAAGAAAGAGACCAATAGATTACTAATAGATTTAGAACCATGTAAAGGTTTAGAATAAACAATCTATCATCACCGCATGTTCTGATATTCTGGTCTACAGAATTCCTTCCAATAGAAATACACTTCAACAAGCAAACACGCTGTGACACATTGTGGTACAGGTGTAGCTCAGGTGAGAGTGATGGAAAATGAAAATGCAGTTGCTGTTTTAATACTGGAGACAACTAACTCAACAAGAGCATCAAGACGACAGAAAAAGAAGTCAGACGTAGACCATCAGTTTTTATGTCCCCACCATCAAGATAAAAAGACCTTTACAAATACAGCTTTAAACAACACACATAAATTTAATTGGCCCTTAACAGGTTGCAGGATTAAATATATAAATCCCATTTATGCGCAGTTCCCATTATTCTGAGCCTGGGGCGGTTTGGCCAGACAGGGAGAGAGGTTTTGTGTTATGTGTGTCTGGGTCAGGAAATTCTGTGTCTTGGACACAGTTGATTACATAGCAAATCAAAATCAAAAATTTTGTTTTACCAACTACACCATCGTAGCTATCCATTTTATTTCTCAATTATAATACAATATTAGACTTAAGCAACAATGTGATGAAGTTCTTTGGTTTTTCAGCTTTTCATTTGTTGGATTAGAGAAAAACAGACATTCAATATATAGTTCTTTCAGTTTCTAGTTATTTTAGTCAGTTGCGTTGGGCTTACAAGCTTTTGTTGATTTTCAGAGGACTTCCCTTGAAAATACTGCTTTAAATGTTAATGACTGAGTCAGAGATCCATTTAAACGCATGGAAATATGTATTATTTGGGAGGTGAGAACTGTGTTACCCTTTTTTTTTGTTGAATCGTATGCTGGCCTGTGGACAAATTTCACATTTTAGCATGTTCAGCTGACCTGCTGTGCACTGGCTAAAAGACTCCAGGTTACAGCAGCAATTTATTGGTATTAATTAACTGGACATGTGCTAAATATCACCTTCTCTAATTTCCCTATAAGTCCCAAATCACAGGAACACACCAGTGGATTTACTGTAACATATCAGTTCCTTTCTGATAATCTTTAAAGAGCTATGGACCGCGTACCGCCCCGCCCCCGCCCCCCGCCCCCGCCCCCCAAAACAAAGTGTTATTATACATATATATCTTAATGTTAAATACCATGGAAAGGGATTTATACATATCGCCCATTCATATGTGATGATGTCTATTGGGGTGTAATTCTTTATTGTTACAGGATTCTCCAAATTAAAATTTGGAGGCTTGGAGTTTATTACTTTCAAGTCTAAAATCTGGTCACGTCTTTAGGGACAGAAGTCTGAAGTAAGTCGCTTCTCACAGCAGTGAAGCTCAGGTCAGGTTTATATTCTTCTCTGCTGAGTCCGAGTCGAAGGTCTGAAAATGTTTCACAGGCTGCACAGAGCGGCGTGGACAGACTGAGAGTCAGTCAGCTGCCAGCACTGCTCATGTGTGGGCGTCCTCCCTCCTCATATGCTAAATATGTGAAGCCAGCACACAATCTCCATCCACTCTCCTCTCCGGCTCAGAGAAACACAGCGGCTACACGGTGATACTTCATAAACAAACTCCCAACTAGCTGTTTTCTACACAGATTTCAGGTCTTTTCGAACAAGCCAAACAAAAATAAATCGCTACATCGGTCGCGCACTGTTTCGCTTCGATACGACTGTTGACAAGACGCTTACACAGGCACAATAAACTATCGTTGAGGGTTTTAAATTCGCCTACCCAAACTCCAGGTGAATCGCTACAGGCGCTGCCATATTGTCGGCACATGCAGGAAGTAGTGGTGTGGGAAGTCGGAAGTGACGTATATGGACACGTTTTTCTATTTGGTTAAAAGCATAGACTGTATATGGTTAAAAGAAGACTTGAGGTTGACTGAAAACAAACTCAGTATAATTTTTGAAATAAAATGATTTTTTAGACTAATATATTATATAATAATATTGTTATTTAATCGATCATTTTCACATCTCTCTTTCTCCCTTCAAATATTCAAATTAAAACTCCCTTTACTGGTGAGAAAATAATCTCCAATACAGTAACTAATGCTAAAGCATGTTGCATTGTAAACAAAACGAGTCAGAATGTTACAAATTAAATAAAGAAAGAAAGAAAAGAAAACATTTTTTGCACATTACTAGCCTATAGTATAGCCCTCTATAATGAAAGAAAAACACACACTGTCACTTTTTACTCAGCCATAATTATATGAAACATTGTCACAAGCTTTAAAATTGTGTTTGTGTAAATATTTCTGTCTTAAATGTTTTTTAAATGTCCTAAACATCTGGTCAGTCACTTTGATTTAATTGTATGTGTTATATGAAATGTTGTCAATATGAGCAGCCAAAGAGCTTTCGAGCACATTCACAGAAAGATTCAGTCTCTCTTCAGATATTTACATTTTTCTGTTTTATTGTATACATTACACTGTTTCCAGAACACTTTTTGAACTTGAACATGAGCGCATTTTGGACGGAGTTCTGTTCTGCGCACAGGTTAGTTGTGCTTCTAATCTTGCGTTGTATGTTGCTGTTAAACTACAGCAGTATAGGGAAAAATGATTATTGTCAAGCCAGAATTGAACTGGGATGTTTATTTTTTCAGGTTTTGATTGCTTGCTTTGCTCTTATGGACTTTTTAAATATTTGTTGGCCAGGGTAAAATTATCTGATGCACTTGTTCCTAAGCCAAATCTCTGCAATTAGCATGCCATATGGTGGTGCCTTCATTTATGAACTGATATCCCCTTGAACTTGACTTCATTTTGGAAAATCATTATATTGGAAAATCATAAGTACAAACAGCACTTCTTCTCACACACACTCTCTAAATGTGCATATGCATGTCTGCATGTATTTAATTGTGTCTGTCAATATGAAAGTGTTCAGAGGCATGACATGAGTGTGTGAATGCACATCTGTCTCTCCTGATCCCTCTCTCCCTCCTTACATACGTCCTCAATCATACTGGTGACAGTTCCAGTCCCAGTATACAGGGCTGGGAGGACGAGGTGGGGGTGGGAGGGGGTCAGTAAGAGGTTTGAATTGCAAATCCGTCGCCTTCTGTTGGCGTCCAAGCCTTAGCAGGCCCTTCCCTGTCTTCATTCATGTGTTAATGAGGAGTCAGTGCAGGGGCAGATAGACAGATCGACCAGGGGCCTGGCGGGGGTGAGGAGGCAGGCGGGAAAACGAGGATGATGGTGGAGGCAGTTTGGTGGAAGTTTTTGAAAGATAATGAAGACATGATGAGTACGGTTACTGGCTGCAGTCTTTCATCCCAGCTGGGATGAGGTGTATCTGCACAAGTGAAAACTGTAAAAGGGGTGAGCTCAGAGGGAGGCGGAGAGGCAGACGGTGGGGTGTGGGTAGGATTTTTTATGGCTGCAAGTTTCATGGTTATGGAGTGAGTTATCCAGGAATGATCACACCATCACTGGGTGTCACATCACATTTGCTAAGCTGCCTTGAGGTTCACATACTGCTGTTGTGGATGGTATGCCACGCTTCTGTTGTATTCTCATGGACTTCTTGTGCTTTCTGCATCTCAGTGTGCAGTAAACAAAAATGAGCTTTTGATTAACATGTATTTGATAAGTGTACACAAATAGTTGCAATACATATATTCATTATGACTTTTATCTGTTTTTCATGTGTAAATACACACATTTGATTTTAAACCAAGATGCATTTGGGATATTTTAGTACTTTGAAAATTAATATATCCAGTTGAAGGTGATGTGAAATAGCTGCTAACCTTGCTTTCTAATGCTCATGATGTTGTGTTCTGAAAATCTGTATGCACAAAACCCTGTTGAAAGGATCTGCCTATATTCACCTACTGTTTAAATCACAAGTTCTGGTTCGGACTCACGTGATTCACTTCCTAATACATGAGGTCAAACATTCTTCATTACATTATTAGACTATTCATTTTTTCTCCTTTCTATAAGGGAGTATTTGTAACTTCTAACATGACAAATACTGTGTTTTTTTCCCTATTATTTTGTTGGCTTTCAAAGACATGTCAGAGCTAGAGCTAACATATGTCCTACCCAGAATTCAATCATGTTCACCTCAGCCTCTCATACTCAAAGTTGGATGAGTTTGGTATGACTTTAGACATTTCTTGAAATTAAGAAATCCCACAATCAAGTGAACGTACAGCCCCACTCCCATGACTCGAGTTTACACCCCACCACCGATATCTGGCTGTAGATGGATGTCAAAAGTCAATGCTACACTGCCAGGAACTAGCTATAGAGCAGCCTAGGTCACACATGATCAGATGACAATGACCAACACAATGGATTAGCTATAAAAGAGCTGGGGGGAGAGATTAGGGGTGAATTGATGACGGTTGGTTGGCTGGCTGGCAGGCAGGCAAGCAGGCAGGCCTGGGAGATCTTGGGTCTGTTTCAATGAGGAACATAAAGAGCTGAAATTAACATGTACCATGATACCAAGCAGAGAGAATCCTCTTAGAGATTACATCCATAACATGTTACGCCTATGGAACTGTATGGAAGGGGGAGACAAAGAGCAGAGCGAATGATAATTTTCTATTGTAGATTATGGGGGATCCTATTCTGTTCTGTTCCGTTGGATTCTATTGTATTCTGTTCTGTTTTGTTCTTTTCAGTTCTACATCACAGTTTATGTCACAAATGCTGTAATTCTTCCTCTTTCTGGTTTTCCCAGGGAATTTTTCACCTGGAATAAACTCGCAACGCCCCCTTCAGCATAACAGCTGCCACGGCCAGGCCGCACTAACTGTCTCCCTCTTGAAAGGGGTAAGCAGCAAGAGCAACAGCAGTACTCCTTGCAACATCTGTACCGTGGCACACACATGTTGACAAAAGCACACGTTGATACACAAACACACGCAAGCACACACAGAAACACTCACTCTCACACATGCATGGCTACACACTCGCACACATACACACACAGTCCATCTGTCTTTGTCTCCCTCCCACTGCCATCACCACGGGTCTGTCTACAAAACAATGTGCGATGCTTCGCACAACACGCATGCTCCGTGCACTCCTACTGTGCATTTTCTGTAAAACAGGAGCTACACACTTACAGATTTACATGCATAAAAAATATTAAAAAAAAAAAAAACACTTATAGAGAAGCAAAAGTGCCCAGGAGGATGCACGATCCAGGAAATGTGCAATTGTGAGGATGTTGTTGTAAGTGGAAGAAGTCCAAAAATCACTGGAAGTCAGGAAGTACTGCTCTGCACAGACACCTAGACTGGACCAGGAACCAGGATGCTCATAACTGCAATTGGCTGCAAGAGGGACTGTATATAAGAGGAGGGTCAGCTTTGGTTTGACAGTGAAATGCTGCCCCCTACTGGCTACCTGTATGAATCACAAGACAATGGCCCCTTAAAGACAAGGATCATTTAAATTTCTATACTTACCAGATCTGAAATAGTTGTTTGCTGAGAATCTTCACTGGAGCTGGTGGTGGTGTGTGTGTGTGTGTGTGTGTGTGTGTGTGTGTGTGTGTGTGTGTGTGTGAATGTGCATATAGGGACTGTGGCAGGACGGTTCAGCATCACTTTCATCTTTTTTTAATCTAAAAAGAGATGTAAAGAGAGAACTCCCTTGTGTGTTTAATTATCTTATAGGATAAGTTCTGACTGTGTCTGTTCATACCTACTGAAATGTTTAATTTTACGTTAAACAAATCTGAATAATTTCCTAAAACACCCGGGCACTGTTAATTTCAGAAACTAGACTTTCTTTTTTTGATACGAGGGGGTTTTATGAGATAGGAAATAAAATATGTTTGAGTGTTGGGATGTTGGTTGGACAAAACAAGCTCATCTGACGACATTACCTTACGCTTTAGGAAATTGTAATGGGCATTTTTTGCTATTATCTTACAGTTTTATAAAACGAACAATTAATCAATATACAAAAACATAATACAGATTAATTGATCATCAAAATGATCATTAGTTTAGCAAATGTTATTCAAACAGGAGTAAATAATGTATTTGATAGGGACTAACTTCAGCCACGGATTCGATGCTCTAGTGAGAATTTGTCAGTAAATGTCAGTGTATATACGACTGACTCCAAATAAAATACTGTGGCCATGTTCATTGTAAAGAAGGAACATGTCGCCCAGTGCAACAGTGTGGATCGCTGATGAAATTACTGAAATTAAAATCACTGAAATACAAATTTCTAAAATTTTAAATTAAAATGACGAACAACTGACATCTATGGCACAGAACAGGTTAGGATTCTGCTTCACAGGTAACACTTGATTTTATGAGTAAAGTAATCAGACTTTTCTTGGCAAGGTATCATATTACACATTCAAAGCTTAACCAATACATTTTTGTCTGAATAAAGAATCAAACTCATTGAGACGAGCAAATCATTTTATTTGAAAAAAACAAAAAAAAAAAGTGAATTGCTATGTACAGTACGTAAAAAAAACATGAGATCGGACCTAAATCATTTCTTGTCTTTTTGCTTTTTAAGTTCATCTCATACAGTCCTGTTACCCATAACAGGAGAATCCACACACTGTCAGAGCATTCCTGTACAGCATTCAACAGAGGACAAATAAAAACATTACATCATCGCCACTGTTTCATCATCAGAGTTAGCAGATATCAAACCTAAACCAGCAGGCATCCTCTTGGTCTCAGAACACACACAACAAATGTTTTCTCTTGTTTGTGTGTGTGTGTGTGTGTGTGTCTATGTGTGTGTGTGTGTGTGTGTGTGTGTGTGTGTGTGTGTCTTCCTGTTGTTATTGTATTACAATTGATGATTCAGTGTTTTTTGCTGACTAAAGACCACCCCCTGTTGGACAACAGAGGGAACTGGCACATCACTCCTCGCCTCATGAACTCTGATCTGTTCAGCTCACCCCAAGCATGGTTCAGGCTAGAAAGTGGGATGATCAAACATCGCTTTAAGGATCTCTGATACTCTAGAGTAGAATGATATTTGTTTAGAACTATTTGACCAATATCTGATATGACTTTCATTCATATATAGATCATCAGATTGGATAAGAAAAGGTTAGAAATAAAAGCATAGATATTTCAAAAAGAAAGTGACGTAGGGGGGTGGGGGGGGGACTGACTGACTGACTAACATTTCTAAGTCTTAATCTTTTATTTTTATTTTCAGGGTCTCAGCCCTTGGTTGAAATGATTGCATAGTCCTGAGAGTTGGCTCCAGCCCTCTCAGGCCCACATACTGTAAATACAGCATTGATTTAAAACTGGACAGTCAACCAAAAATGTAATGCCATTGCAATAAAACGATTCAGATTATTTTAAGTCTACTGTCAAAACACAAATAGAAAACATACAACCAAAAACCATTCTCTGTAGCAGGGCTGTGATCTACACGTCCTTAACTGATGGAACTCCTTTTTTCATTTAAAATTTCGAACTGAAATAAAACAAATTTAAAAAAAGATGAAAGATGTCAGAATTTCTCCATCTGTTGAGTATCATTAAAGATTATCCACAGACATGAAATATCTTCACTGAATCACCTGTATACTTCTCAATTTTGACTCATCTTTATGTTCAAATTATTAGTTTAAAGCAACATTTTACTTGGTGCAACATTTATAGCTGCATGGATCAAGCATTTAATTTTTTTCTGTAAATGTATAACCTGCAGCTCCAGACTGCTGAAGCTAGAGTCATGAGTCGTGAAGCATATCCATAAATGTTTCTACACTAAGTGAAAAATTGCTTTAACTAGATTTAAGCAGTGCACACCCCATTTTTTCCCCCGTCTCTAAATGCTTGTGTTTAGCTACATGTTGTGCACGAGACACACAATATCAAATGTATTAGTCAAACAGGTACAGCAGAGGGAGGTTTGCTTTGTCCTCTTAATGTTTTTAACTTCTCACAAAGCCCTCTTACTGAAGTTGCAGCATTACTTTTGCAAATGTTTCATTTCTGATACATTTATTAATGCATGCCTGATACATTTTTAATGGGATTCAATGGGTCCGCTTGATATATATTTAATGAGGTTTTATGAACATAGTTTCCTCAGAATGAGCACTGAAAGATTCTCATGACTTTGGTGAAGCAATGTCCATAATGTTCTGATATCCTTTGATCATAACAAATAAATAAAGACAAAAAAAAAAAATCATGAAACATTAATGACACGTAAAAAAAAAATGAAGGAATGTAAACATACATACAGACACACACTCACTCAGTCACACAGACTAAACATCTATATACTGTATGAGCTATGTAAGTTATTGTTGTCATTTCTGCTACAGTGTGTGACAGCGGTTGTTTGAAACAAGAGAGTGTCTGTGTTTTATTGGAGCAAAGCCAAACTCTGCAGCTCTGTTTGGCCGCCGGGGCACACCGTACACATTTTACTGTTTGTACCGAGCAGAGGAGAGGGGGCCCCCCCCCCCCCCCCCCCCCGTTTTCTTTACTACTTAGCTTGTCTCCTCTTTGTTGCCATTTAAATATTTTAGCGCTAAGTGAGAAAGTCCACAGAGAGGAACAGGAGGAACCCCATGCCTTATTTGGAGTCCACAGTCAGTGCAACACATGTTTTATGTGAGTAACTCTCTTTTCTGTATTCCGAGTGCTCAATGCACATGCTCTTTTAGCTGCCTCTTCAGTCACTCTCACCCCTCCCAGTGTTCATATTGGACTCTTCCACATCATCCTCTGCGATGCAAAACAAGACCATACCACTATGAGTGGTGAGTGCAGATGGGGGGGGGGGTTGTTTTTTTTTGTTTTGTTTTTTTTGTCGATGGCGGGTGTTCCGAGCAGGTGCTATAGCTCACTGTGGCGCACAGGAGGCTCTAGCTTGTGTGATAGGGCTGTGAGAACTTTGTCGAACTTCTCGTAACGCTCTGATTGGCTGCCCTCAGAGCCACGGCTGCCCCACAGGAGACGCATCTGAAACTCCGTCTGGAAGATCTCGTGGATTTCTGCTCGCTCCTGGAATCCTGGAGAGGTGACCGAGGAGAGAAGGAGAGAAGAAGAGAAGAGGTTACTCTATGTAGATGACATTTATAAAAAATCATGGTGGAATAGAGGTTATCAGAAAACGAAAGAAATTTCAAAATAATCCCTGACTAGATAATAAAATGAACAAGACTGTGGAAAAACTACTGTAGCTGATTTAAAAAATAAAATAATAAAATAAACTAACTTAAGTAAAAATGCATGAGAAACGATGTGAGCCTTGACAAAAACAATACATTTAGTCAGGCAATATTTGCACAGTCTTATTGTAAGTCCTCAAAGCACTGACACATTGAAATTTTTTATTAACAATAACTACGCCAAAATAAAAAACAAACCACCAAATACATGTTAAACTAACTAAATAGTCACACTTGCTATTTCCCCTTTATATGCGCACTTTTTTTTTTTTTTTTTTTAAATCACATCAGACTTTCCACATTTGAGTTTGTTCTATTTGCTGATGAATCCCACAAGAAGCGGTTGAAAGCTCTGAAAAGGCCAGTGAGTGAACCTTTGAGATGGGATTACTTTGTCACACAGGTAAAGACTGAACCTCCATGCTCATCTGAATATGATTCGATTCATTCTGCTCATTGCAACACAGCTACACAGAAATAAGCTTCTGTGCCCTCATGATTAGACGATGCAATCCTCCCCAGTGCTCAATAAAAAAAAAAGAAAGATGAAAACTCTCCAGCCTGACTCTATGAATACACTAAAGCTTCTTCAGCTGAAAGCAGCTTTAACAACTGTATGAAGTAAGCGTCTTTGTTGTGGCTTGAAGAACTGTTGATGAAAGGAGCAGGCTGAGGTCAGGCTGATCGATGGCGACATATTACAGAAAACAGATTTGAATTGATAGTTACTGAAAGACTGTTCAATAAAGCAGTAATGGCCTCAAACTGAGAACCAATGCAGAAGTATTAGAGATCAATACAGTCAACACAGTAACCCCACACACACACGATCATTACAGCAAATCGGTCATGTCACGACCCTGATACTGTAGACATGCGTCCTTATTAACATCAATACATTAACAGCATGAGATGTAACACACTAAATTTGGCCTTACCCTGCAGTTTGGTCTCAGAGTTGGTTCTGTAGATTCCCCCGTGATGTGCGATGGTACGGGCTGCCTCTAGGTGGTACATGACCACATCTACTCCGACCTCTGCGCTCTCCCACGGCTCCAGCGCCTCCCCGAGAGCCACGCCTCGCTCCAGCAGGGACAGGACGGGAATGATGTGGGGGAAAGAGGTGTTGGACAGAACACTAGACTCTGTACGTAAAGGAATAAACACGCAAGCACATTTTGGAGTCAAATACATGCAAATACACACCAGTTACCTGCATACTTATTACCACTGCACGTAAACTAGAATCTCACCTTTGCCATCGTTCATATTCTTCATGAAAGGTTTGAGTTTCTTCTCATATAAAATAGCGCCCTCTGTATGTCTCTGCCGTAATGTCACCCACGTCTGCTCCAGGCGGGAAATCTGACACAATGAGCGGTGAAAACAAAGATTTTGAGAAAAGCAAACTCTGGAGTTTTTCCGCAGATGATGGTGACTTTTCTCTGTATCTGCCTCTTACCTGTGGCAGCTCCAGGGCTCTCATCACAGCTGCAAAGCCGAACATGTTGCCCAGGTTGCTCTTCAACTCGGCTGCTAACTGGATGGTCTTATGGAGCAGGGCCGCCCTCTCCTCCGTGCTTCCTGTACAGCCCAGCAGGTCCACCGCCATCATGATAGACATGGTGTAGAACCTGAGGAGAGAGAAACGTGCTATTCAATAAAACTTAATAAAAAGTTGATTATTGCGGTTACGAGGGAAATTGGAACGGTTGAGTCAAAGCCTGTTTTGAGAGCCCCTCTGGAAATTCACACTGGGGCAGACTGTAGTGATGTAGTGAGTGATGTAATCTGACAGAGCCTTCAGATGCTGATGAAATATATATCATTTCAAGGCCTCTGTTGAATAATTTTACAAAAAGTTTACTGGAAAAAGTTGTAATGCACAGTTTGATGCCTCACATTTAGTTTTTATTATGCTGGCTTTCAGTAACATGCTGTTACATTAAGGAAATATTCATTACATTGTATAACCAACCATAGGAAAACAAAAGTGGGGGGTGGGGGTGGGGGGTGGAACAGAAGATGAGAAGAGGGAAAAGATGATAAGAGATGAGGAGGGTGAAGATAAGAACCGAAGAGTCAAGAGGGGGGAGGAGAGGAGCTGAAGAGCAGAGGTAATCAATATTTGAATTAATGAAGGAGGTACTGTGTGACGCATAAAAAAGGAGACAGCGAGAAACAAATGTGTTTGTACCTCTCCAGTAGGTCAAGTCTCAGCTGGTGTCCATGTGGAAGTGTCAGTAACTCCAGCCCTGAGGACACTCCCATCATCCTTTGCGTCTCTGAGGAGACGCCCAATATTCTAGCCACCTGCCCGAGAGTTAAGAGACAATGGTTAAGATACATGTGGCGTGTGTGTGAGTATGGGCGCGTGCTTACATCTGTTTACCTGCATGCATGACTATGTGTTGTTGTTTTACGCTGTGGGATTATGCACATCAGCTCGCTTGGTGTGCATGTATATGCATCTGTGTGCGTGCGTCTGTACGTACCGTGCAGTCCACCATGGTGATGTGTTTAGCCGCGGTCCTTGCATCCACCTCAGCCAGCAGCTCTTTGACTCTCTTCAGCACGGACATCTCCAGAGGCTTATTCTCAGCCGGCATAAGGCAAGACTCGTACCTGCACAGGAGCGATTACGCCGCATTAGAAAACTACAGCAACAAGAGGGTTGTAAAGATAAATGGGTTAAAACAGAATTTTTTGTATCTTGGGAGGCTCATTCAGTGGTCCAGTTGTTTGGTTCAAAGATCATGTACACACAACATAAAGGAAGCTGTTTTGATAAAGACCCCTCAAAGTTTACTGCTGAAAAAATACATTTGTCTCTCTCTGGTAGACAAATTATGGTGCAACCGTTCCTAAATGACACCAAACATACTGAACAGTGACATTTACTTAGTTACTTATCTGCCAGCACACTGCATGATACCAATACATTTAAAATCTGTTGATAGTATCAGCCATGCAGATGTATCAGTCAGTCAGATGTTGAATTAGTCCCACATCTCCAAAACAAGGAGTCTTAAGGTTATTTGCGCAATTAATAAAACTAGTAACGTAGATCTGAAGATATTCCAGTAACATGATATTCACACCTGATATATCAACATCTGAGTTACTACAGGTGGGACTGACCATCAGGGATACAGGGACAAATCCTGTATCAGTGGGTCGGTGGACCGTCATTAAAAAAAAATAAAAAAAAGTTTTACCAGCCTCGACATTCCTCTGGGTGTGCCTGTCATTCAGGTGCACATGAAAGCGTGCGGCGTGCGTGTTTTCGGGGATTGGGCTCTCTGGCCAATCAGAAGCCATCCTCATGTCCTAATTATGATGCTTTCTCTTCAACTAACCAGTCCCTGGTTCACACTGGTGGCTAACACATGAGCAGCCTTTACTGCCTTAACTGCCAATTTCTCCAGTAGTGTTAACACATACAGTATCCAGCAATATGCCCCCAGCACCAAAGATCCACAGGGGACTCTCAGATGTCCAAAGCTGCTGCCTGCTCCATCTCTGCAGCCAAGACATACTATTTCTCTTCCACAAACCTCATATGCTGTGTCCCCCCATGGCACTGCGATACCCAGTAAAACACAGTATCTGCTGTGTCTATGACCACACTGTAAAGTCTGCCCTCAAGCTCTCTCCCACAGGACTAACAGCCGTTCACTCAAGTCTGTTTTCCAGTCTGGGCTCGCTCAGGCTGTAGCTGTACTGCAGTGCCTGGTCAAAATTGCTTTACTCTCATATTTTTGCCCTTTACGACAAAATGTCAGTGTATGTATTGACCTTTGAACACACCAACTTTACATCCTGATAGAATATGCCTCAGTGTACAGAAAGCTGAGCAACAGTCAGGATCCACAGGTACCTACATTAGGAAAATGGTAAACTGCGGACTTAATAGATCTTGTTTTGTTTGTTTACATCTTATTGTTAGTTTTTTTCCCTACAGTTTCCCAATTCATTTATACATGCTTTACTTGATGAATCACATAACACCCTACGGCTTCATCCTCTGTACAGAATTTACAGAAGTTTGCTTTATGATTTGCTTTCTCTTGCCTTTAGGACTTCACAGTTCTTGTTACACCTGACCTACAGTAACCCTGTGGTAGGAACAAGGACTGTCTGTTCAATTTTCTTTCCCCTAAAACTGCAGTTTTCTGACACTGCTGAAAAGCCCGGTCTTAAAGTAACTTAAGAAAAAAGCCACTGTACCTACTCTTCTTTCTATGAACATGACAGCAATTCCACAACTGTTCACATCCGGCATTAGAAAACAGACATTCAAGACTTGATCACTCTCATTCAGATTTTTTTCACGCTGTGTATCCTTTTCATCCAGGACTCCAAATCAAGTTAAAAGACCAGCTAAGTATCCTTTGGAAACATAATGTGGAGGCTTGGAGGTCTCTTTGTGTCTCATACCTGGATGGTCTGAATGAGGATGTCGTTTCCACCTGTGGGGCGGAGAACATCCCTTCTCCTTCCTCCCTCGCTCCCTCCTCCCTCCCTTCCTCGACTCGCAACCGCTCCACGTAGCTCTTAGCCGGAGGCTTGGGGGGTCCGGCGGGGCAAGGTCTGAGGTCACAGTAGCTCCCTGCTGTTTCTGAAGAATGTGACTGGTAGGTGGGATGATGGGCAGGGGAGGAGTGCGCCGAGTGAGAGGTATGCGCGGGATGCTCTGGAGGGTTGTTACTGGCTGAGGGGCTGAGCTGGGGGTCGCTGGAACGGCGCATCACGGGGGAGGGTGGGACGACAGCCAGGACCCGCCCGCTCGAGTGGGCTCTCTGCCTGGTGACTGAAATGAAGAGAGAGAGCAGTCTTAAAATCCCCTGTGGACGATGTGTTCGTGAATGTGAGGGGGAGTGCATTTATTCTCTATTCATGCGTCTGAGTTTGTGTGTCGCTGGCACTTACTAGCACTATACGCAGGAGACAGTGGGGTCTCCCCAACAGGTGACAAGGGGCAGCGATACTCCTGAATCTGGTCCATGCTCATTGCACAGTTCCGCATTGCGTCTTTGTGGTGGTGGATTGTTGATGGGCTGCAAACACAGCATTTTTAGGATGTTAAAAATCTTTGGGTGTGGATTTAAAAGCTGTAAGAAAATGAAGGGAAACTCACAATGCAAGTGCAAATCAGGATGCCACGTTTATCAGTGACAGGAATGGTGTGGTGAAGAATGTAAACGCTTATTATTTCAGGGTGACAGAGGAGGGAGAGTTGGTTCAACCGTAAAGGAAATTGCTCTACTTCATGATGCACACATATAATATTATATATTGTGTTATTTATTAATTAAAACCACGTTTAAGTCTTAAAAACAGGAGCAGAAAATGCAGTACAGTGTGGCTTCTTCAGAAAAGATGAACTGCAAAAAAATATAAAAAATATTTAAGATGTGTAATCGTTAGTTTTACCACATCAACACTGGGAAATGTTATCAATAATGAATAAATTTATTTTTCCCCACATATTTTCTTCTTGCAGAACTCACTATGAGGCAAAAAAAATGTATTTCCACTGTACACAACATATTTTTCTGCTCCTTTTTTCGAGTTTCAAACAGCCTTGTTTTGTTTTGAAACTCAAGTGAGCCAGTGCAGAAGTGGTCAAGTGAACATGTCACTCTGAGGGCACTAACAGGACCTGACGCTCATTACCAGGGGAGGTGCTAATGGTGTCTGTGAAGTGAGGGGACCGTAGGGAAGGTGGGAGGTTAAGCTCACTAGTTTAGTGCTCAAACACAACACTAGTGTCACACAAACACACAACAACCTGCAGTTGGGCACAGGTTCCGGCTCTGGTTCTGGTGGTGCCACTGGTGTCTCAACTGGGCTGGGACTGTCTGAGTCACTGATCGTGTATATGACATAAAGCAAGAATGAAACAACGGCAAACAGTGATAAAGACTTCAGAAAAAAAAAAAAAGAATCGTCAGGATTTAATCATTGGCTGCTCGGCTGGAGAGCTGCATCTCCGCCACTCAAAAAAAAAACAAAAGAAAAAACCACTCCACACGTTTCTCGCGGCTCACCTGTGAGGTATCATCTTCTCTGTCGTCAGCCCATCAGTCATGGTGACGCTCCTCCTCTTGATGTACGCTCCCCTCTGACTGGACGGTGAGTATGCAGAGCCTTGCTTGCTGTTGGACAGCGCGAAGGTGGCCTCCAGGTAGCGCAGAGGGAGAGTCCTGCTGACTGGACAGTAGATGTGGACACCGCTGGACTGGGAGACTGGTTTGCGCTGGCCTATGTAGAACCGCACGAGCTCCTGGACTGAGTCGAAATTGTCTGTCTCCAACATGTACTGCACCTGAGGATGAAGAGAAACAGCATTTAATATACCACCTTTGAATGTTTTCATACACCTGCTGTAATTAACTTGCACCATAAATACTTGTAAGCTAGCGAGGGCGCAGGATTTTGTCTGAAGGGAGAAAATCAGAGCATGTGTGTTCTCTCTTGAACCAGAATAACTCCACTGTGGCTCCACAGGGGGAGCCTACCCTCCATGTTTTGTATCTACAGTGGTTACAGATCTCTTTGAGTGGCGAACACAAACAGCCGCTGTTCCTCTTTATTTGCCCAGTGCTTAAAACCAGTTTACACAGTGCCGAATTATCTAATGCCTGATTCAAACTCATAATAAAATGAAACAGAAATCAGCAGGCAGGGTGGGAACTGAGATTTGGAGCCAGATAGAGAAGAAAGGCACAGCTGGTCAACAAGGCAAACCTGCCGCCTCCAGCATTAGAGGCAACCAGAGAAAACAGGCCTTTCTCTTGGAGGATGAATCTTCGATTGGTAAAGGTGGTTAATATAATGTTAAATATGCATTTCACTCAAGTTTGATTCTGCTCTGTAGCGAGATGAGAAGAAGACGAGGCTTTGGCCAATGCTGCCATGTCTATATAATAGACCCATCTCACAGCGGACAGGTCAAAGTGTCACAGATGTGACACAGATGTGGATGCCGACTCATAGTACAACTTGACTCTAAATGGAACATCATCAATGTTACTAGTTACGTGTGCACTTTTCCTGCTCACGGGGGGGAATTGATGAGTGATTTAAACACTGGGAGTGGCCCATTCATTTGATCTTTTGGCATTAAACAAACCAGAGAGAATAGACAACAACAACAACAACAACAACATTAAATTATTCTCTGCTGTCCTTTCTGCATACAGAGTATGATGGAAATTCAAAGCACCACACGATTTAAGTTAAACTTACAGAAGATGAACATAAGGGAGCGAATAGAACAACGTGATGAAAGGCAACACATACGAGAGTGTATCAAAAACTTAAAAGAAGTGATGAGTGATGAAACAGGCCAGCCAGTCGAAGCTGAACACTTACCTTGGTCTCATTGGATTTGACCAAGACTTTGCTAATCTTGAAGTGCAGCACCTCATTATTCCACCGACAGGTCAGAACATAGTCACCCACGCTGGTCAGAGAGTCACGCACCAGGAAATCTCCATTACGCACAACCAGAGTCTCTGACACCTGGACAGAGAAAAAAAAAAAAAGAATATGTTTTTAAATTAGTAAAAGGAGACAAAAAAAAAGCTCCAATCGTGAAGAGCTGGAAGCAAACTTGGCTCACTGAGCCGGAGCATGTGTGTGAACATTTTTTTACTGACACTCCGACTGTTTAATAATTGAATCGAGAGAATCATGATTATTTATGACAACGCCTTAGGACAGTTTGTGTTGCTGAACAAACACAAACTACGTCCCTCACTGCCAAACTGTCTCTGTTATGCACAGTTTGAATTGGCAATGATGGATAAAATGCCAGCCACAATGGCCGGAATGACTTTCTGAGGACACATTTTATTGAGTTCAGCACTTCTGTAAAAAGTTATTATTTTGAATTTATTGACAAAACAAGCAATCCAGAAATGCAATCTCCCATTCATGGTCAATGGAACAGCTTCAGGCTGTATATCTTGCTGATGCCAAACACTGCGGATGTGTCAGTGGTTTCTGTGAGAAGAGATCACAAATATTGACCGAGTGGTCGTAACATATTTCAATCTGAGCGGTGTTCCCTTTAGAAATATCTGCCCTAAAGAGGGTATGAAGGTGTAAAATTTAAAATTCACTCAACACAAGGTGTGAAATATGCAGCACAGAGAGTCAATGACCAGCAGGAGGCAGTATATACACACATGAAAAGCTCAAACCAAGTGCAGGATCTTCTAATTTATTTGGGTGAGTTTTTGAAAGTTTTTTTTTTTTTTTTTTTTATCTGCTCCCTCGCTGCATTTAAGAATTCATCATGTTTTTTTCACAACGGTTTGGAACAAAGTAAATGAAATAATGTACCTAAAGGGAAAGTCGCATTGGGCCGTATACACATACTGGAAGTCTTAACTTTAAAAAGGGAAGAACAACAGAACAGGATGAAGAAAACGAGCAGGAAGGAAGGATGGGATTTAGGGACGCTAATGTACAGTATCCGCCAACAGGGTGTGTGTGTGTGTGAGAACTAGTCATTAAGTATTGTTTTGGAAACCAGGGCGTTCAGGGTTTCCCCAACTTTACACTGGGGTAAATCTATGAATAAATGAATATTTTATGTAAATTGAAGGAGGGGAAACTCACAGATGGCTGATTTGAATCTGTGTGTGTGTGTGTGTGTGTGTGTGTGTGTGTGTGTGTGTGTGTGTGTGTGTGTGAGGGATAGAGACACAGAGCAGAGGTTGATCAGGAGACAGAGGCTGTGTCTATTTACAAGTACCCTCCACATGTGCATGCAGTGTGTGTGGGCGCGGGTCTCTTGTTGTGTGTCTCTGTGTCTTAGTCACCAGCTGTGAAATTCAATTGCGTACATCAGCAACACGTGCAGCTGTCTGTTTGGCAGAGTTTCCCCTCCTTCTGAACGCTAAAGCAATTTCTACTGAGCTGTGACAGATGATGGGATTCATTAATCAGTGTCATTCTGTGTGTAAAGCATTTAAACTGTGCTTTCAAAGCCAGAGATTTTGGCCAAGTAATCGCTCAACTAATACTATCGGTTGACAACCACATCAGCCCACACAGAAATACTATTATGTTACTTTTATCTCAATTAATTCTGTATTTTTTAAAAATCTATTATGACATGTGGGGTATTGAAATGCAAACTGCGGCAGCAATTCATCATTTTCTAAATTTATTTATTTATTAATTTCGCTGCTACAGGGACTGAGAGACTGCCACATGAAGTTTGACTTGAAGCTTTTCATTCATATCTTCAGTGGGTTTGTTGATAACTAAAGGCTGGAAAACTTTCATCCTCATGCTGACGAGTAAGAAATGGATTTTGGGTTATTTTTAGTTTGGCGTTTTAGCCGAAACACATTAGTTTTGATTCAGTTTAATCAAAACGCAATGCAAAACCAGAGCTGAAACGAAGAATTATTTTCATTTTTGACTCATTTAATCGACTGATTGTTAAAACAGTGAAAAATGCCCATCATCAGTTCCCAGATTCCAAAGTGATGTCTTCAAATGACTTGTTTTGTCCACAAACACCAAAGATAATTCATTTCAAATAACATAAAACAGAGAACAGCAGCAAATTCTCACGTTTGTGAAACTGAGACCAGCAGATATGAAGCATTTGTGCTTGATAAATGACTTAAATAATGATTCAACAACTACTGATTTTTTAAGTGGTGCTTGTGTGTGAGTGCGAGTTTGAGTGTGTGTGTGTATGTTTGTGTGCATGTTGTGTCACACTGAACACCCAGGCAGCGTGTTACATGCGTGCATCCACCTGTTCCCAAACATCCATTCAGGACTTCCAATGTCACAACTAACACAAAGTACTCTACTGTGCACGTATGCTGATTATAGCGTTCTTTACAGTGTGAGTATGTGTGTGTGTGTGTGTGTGTGTGTGTGCGTGTGTGTTTACCTCTCTGGGTATGTGTCCATGGTACCAGCCATGGCTCCTGATGTCAGCAGGGCTCAGTTTAAGCTCCTCCTCCAGCTCCTTACGAAGTTTCTCAGGGGGAGACTCCAGCAGGTACTTCTCCTTGGAGAACTGCATGCAGCAAACAAGCGGAGGAAAACAAGACATCAGCGGGAGTGAATTTACATTTTTAGAATTTAAGAGTCGCACGAAACGTAGCTGGTACAGTGTATTCACATGGAAATGGACCATAGATTAGATGCACAGTCTATATTTAACTTTTATTTATTCAGGTAAATCCCATAGACATTTGGATCTAAACTCCAAGGAGGATTTGAGAACTTAAATATATATATATATATATATAAATAGATATTTTTAGAATTTACAATACAAAAGCAGTATAATAGGCGTAGAATAATAATGTAATATACGTGGTTGGTGTCATTTACACAAATACACAGACATGCGCAGAAGTATACACCTGTGTTACAGAAGGCAACACTGCAGGGGGGCAGGATTGTGTGCTGCCTTCCACACAAACATCAACACACTCACTCAGGCACGCACACACACACTTGCGTACTAGAACCAATCCAATCGACCCTGACCTGATTACTAAGACGTAGAGATCATCAGGAGTAAGCTCTTATTGTTTCTCATGAACTGTGGAGACCCAGCTTTAGCTTTTGATTGTGGTCACTCAGAATGGCTTGCAATAACACCTAATACACACTTACACACACACACAATTTGTGCACTATACACACACACAAGCAA